GGGGGGGGATGCCTGAATCCTCCAGTCAGCAAGGCCAGTGGCCTGGTTGTCAAATCCTGTCAAATAACATTTTGAAGCATTGCCTAAGGAGACAGGGCACACAAGTCAGTTCTCTATGCCTGAATACAGAGGCATAGGTTATGCCCTGAATGGACATTTGGCTCTCTTCTTACTGCTCCTCAAGTTCCAATGTAGACATGCCTTGGCAGAACAGATTCAGGCAACTCAGAGCCATACAGCAGCCATTTACAAGGTTACCATATGTTTCCTGTAACTGCATGGAAGGCTGGCCATCTGTGGCCTTAGACCTTCCTGCTAAGCCCAGCATTAGCGTCTCACCAGATGCTTAAAAATTGGTGGTGGTAAAGAAGTGACAGTACTGGACTTAATTGTATGTGCAGAGGCTAGAGATCAATGTCTTGCCATATTATCACAGGCATTGAGCAATGTCTGTCCTAAGTGGGCTATGATATTATGAATCCCAAGCCTCTGAACTCAGTTCAAAGCATCTGTGATATACAGCAGCCAGGATGCGTAACATATAGGGCTTTTAAATGTGACCTTCAGATCATTGACACAACACTTTTGGCTGGTTTGTGATTTGTGCACCAGAATAGCTCTTGCTTGTAAACAGCCAGCCAGAATTACAGATTTAGGGCAGTTGCTCATCTTTGAATTAAAGCCAAGCTGCTTTATCCTATAGTTTAGCTCCTTCTCTGTCACTCTAGGAACATTCATCATGAGCAGCTTGTGTTTAATATCTTGGAAACACATGTGGGTCAGCGAGACATATATACTGAGCACTAGCACATCTATGGAAGCTGTTGAGCATCAAGGACTCAGTTAGTGCTATGTTTGGCATACGTACAGTTTCCCCCCCCCTTTTTTTCCTAAGGGTTTCACATCAGCCTCCTCAGTCATTCTTAAAGCCCATCCTACAGGCTGAGAAAGAGAAAATGAGTAGCTTGCTTGCACATACACAACCTAAAAGGCTGTGCTACCTTTCAGGAAATCTTTGGTGTGAATTTTGCCTCTTTGTTAGGGTTTTCACATAATGCCATATTGATAGCTAAGAAGCAAAATTCACAATAGATATTTCCTGAAAGAGAGTACAGTCTTTTATACTTTATACAGACATATGCAATCAGCTTAATATACTGCTTGGGGCTTTATATTTCATTGACTTTCAGCCTGAATTATATATGCAAACACACCAGCCCAAATCACACAGAATTAATTAATAATTAATCATACAGAAGTTAGACAAGTTATTTGTGATTAAGCCTTGTTGATTTCAATTAACTTGCTCTGTCTAAAGCTATATCATTAATATCTGTGGAATAACTTTCCAGTTAATTTAAGAGCACCTGACTCCAGTGTCAGAGACAGAGGGAGAAGATAGCAGCCACTCTCTCTGTTGCGTCGAAGTCTGGTCACCACAATTCAAGAGGAACAGTGACAAGCTGGAGCATGTCCAAAGCCCTCCTCTGACTTCCTCTGACCAAAATGGCAAAAGATCTGAAAACCATACCTTTAGGAGCAGCTTAGGGAGATGGGTATGTTTATCCTGGAGAAGAGAAGGTTAAAGGTGACTTGATGCCATGTTTAAATATTTGAAGGGATGTCATATTGAGGATGAAGCAAACTTGTTTTCTGCTGCTCCAGAGACCTTAAGCCAACTCCTTAAGTGTGAGAGCCAGTGTAGTGTAGCGGTTTACACACTAGATGATAACTCTGGAGATCGGGATTCAATTCTCTGCGCAGCCATGGAAATCCATTTGGGAAGATGTGTTCAATGTCCATGCCCCTGTACAGGTTCCACCATCATTATCCTGCCAAATCTGGACTTGTCCACACTCGGGGGGGGGGTGATCATAGGGAGAGGAGTAGTGTCATAACTCACCTTATGGAGTTGGAAGAGTCAGATTTCCAGGAATTTACAGCTCCTGATGACGGTGGTGCCTCTGAATCCAAGTAACCTAGGGCTGAGGCAGTGGGGGTCCCTATCCTTAGCAGGAGGTGGCAGGCAATGAAGACATGCTGCCATCCTTTGAAGATCATCAAAGAAATAAGGATAAACTACACAGATCCCAGGAGATAAGCACCTTGAGGCAACTGCCTATACATTTCCCAACTGTTCTGTCTTGGTGACTGGCAGTAGTTTCTTGACCTTGGACTGTATATGATTGACAACTCTGTTTTACTCCTTGCTGGGTTCATTTATCTGGACTTGCTTTAATGACATCTGGGCTGGCTGATGACCACCCTCTTGTTTATCTGCTTTCTTTGCAACCTACTTGGAAATGAGCTATTTCTCTTTCTCCTTGCTTAAGACATTGAAGCTTGGAGCTGAGAAATTTGCCAAAGGCAAAACAGGAAACACTGGCAGTATATGGGGGTCCTCCGGAGTCAGATGGTGGTGTAGTCCTTCAATTATATCTCTCACTGTTGTACCATGAACTGCCTGTGGATGTCTTCACCAGGTTGTTTCATCCCTGTCTTGCATGATATCAATGTCTCCACTTTGGGATTGTTTACACAATTAAAAACTAAAAACACAATTCAAAGGAATTGAGTTTTTTGGGGGGGTGGAGGGGACACATTATACTTTGAAGAAAAAGGAATTGTGGTTTTTATTGGATTATCCATGAGGATGTGTATTATCCATGAGCATTACCAAACTTGTGGCCATCCATCCACTTCACATACATTTGCATGGCCGTGCATTTTTGTCACAGAGAAGGCAAATAGATGCAAATTTGCACAGTAAAGTGAAGACAATTAAGCATCAATGCAAATGTGTGAAAATCTGCAGCAGTTTGCAGAATACATTTAGGTGTAGACTAGCCCTTGGTCCTTCTTGGACAGGATCAAATGAACACAAACTTGCTGCACTCCCACCTTTGAGAAATTGCTTCTTACCCAAACAACCTTTTCAGCTTCTTTGCATCATGTTTAAACCACAAAATGACATGGGACATATTTTGTCTCAATATATTACATTAGGTAGGACAAAAACTTACCCCAGTGTCCCAGATGTTTTTTTTTCTGTTTAAAAAATGCACACAAACAGCTGCATGGCAGTGACTCACCTCAGGTTCATTGTTTAAAACTCTTGAAGTGACAATGCCATATAATGTCTACCTTGTACATCTTGTTCAGCATGATTTCCACAACAAAATACATATGTATCCCTTATTTGGAATTCCAAAATCGAAAATATACAAAAATCCTATATTGTCACAGGCGTGGCTAAGATAGCTTTCTGATGGTACAGAGCACACAAACGTTTCTTGTACACAGTTATTTAAAATATTATTTAAAATTACTTCTAGGTTACGTATACAGTTGGCTTTCTGTATCCACTGATTCTTTACCCATGGATCTAACCATCCCCAGCATGAAAATATTTTTTAAATATATACATATACATTTTGATTTCCCAGATCACAAGATCTGGGAAATAAAAGGAAAATTCAAACCAAGGACCAGGACAGTCTATGACAATAAAAATAACATAATTCAAGACCAGGAAGAAATAAAAAGATGTTGGATGCAATACAAAGGAGAGTTATGTAAAAGAGATGACAACATGAATGACACCTGGAATGAAGAACCAATTGAAGATGGACCCCAAATTCTAAAAAGTGTGGTGGAAGCTGCAATAAGAAAAATGGCAAAAAACAGGTCTCCAGGAACAGATGATATTCCAATTGAAATACTGTAATCCACATTGACAGAGTAAACTCTAGTGCTAACCAACATATGTCACAGATATGGAAAACAAAACAATGGCCAACACATTGGAAGTGGTCAATATACATCCCCATCCACAAAAAAAGGTGATACAAAAGACTGCAGCAATTATAGGACCATAGCACTGATCTCCTACTCAAGCAAAATTATGCTCAAAATCCTGCAACATAGACTTCAACCATACATGGGGAGAGAAATCCCAGAGGTCTAAGCAGGGTTTAGGAAAGAAAGAGGCACTACGGACTGCATTGCAAACATATGATGGCCAGTGGAGCGCACCAGGGAATTCCAAAAGAAAATCAGTATGTGCTTTATAGACTATAGCAAAGCCTTTGACTGCATAGATCATGAAAGGCTATGGAATGCCCTTAAAGACATGGGAGTGCCAACACATCTGATAGTCCTAATGAGGAATCTGTTCTCAGGACAGGAAATTACTGTCAGAACAGAACACAGAGAAACCGAATGGTTCCCAATTGGCCAAGGGGTCAGACAAGGCTGTATCTTTTCACCCTACCTATTCAACTTATATGCAGAACATATTATAAGAAAAACA